AAACAACTGCACCTCCCAGTCGCGAACCATTTCAACTCCCCCTCCCATTCCTCAGACGACATGTCCATCCTGGGCCTCCTGCAGTGCCACAACGATGCCACCCGAAGGTTGCAGGAACAGCAACTCATATTCCGCTTGGGAACCCTGCAGCCCAATGGTATCAATGTGGATTTCACAAGTTTCAAAATCTCCCCTCCCCCTACCGCATCCCAAAACCAGTCCAGCTCGTCCCTGCCTCCCTAACCTGTTCTTCCTCCCACCTATCCCCTCCTCCCACCTCAAGCCGCACCTCCATCTCCTACCGACCAACCTCATCCCGCCCCCTTGACCTGTCCATCCTCCCTGGACTGACCTATGCCCTTCCTAACTCCCTACCTACACTCACCTTTACTGGCTCCATCCCCGCCTCTTCGACCTGTTTGTCTCCTCTCCACCTAACCTCTCCTCTATCCCTCCACTATCCGCCTCCCACTCTCTCCCTATTTATTTCAGAACCCCCTTCCCCTCCCCCTTTTCTGATGAAGGGTCTAGGCCCGAAACGTCAGCCTCTCTGCTCCTATGATGCTGCTTGGCCTGCTGTGTTCATCCAGCCCTGCACCTTGTTGTCAACAAGTTCAGTGACTTCTTTGCTGTCTAACTTTATGAGTTTTCAGGAAATACACAATGGATATCCTCTGTGTGGCACATAGTTTAGACAATACCCATCACATTATCATCCCCACATGTTGGGTTCTGCTTTGTCAGCCTTCACTCTGTATGTTTCCCCCATATTAGGACTGCAGGACTTTGTTTTGTGATATGGCCTAACCTGTCACAAGAAACCTTATCATCTTTCACATTTTGACATTGATATCAGAATTTACAATAACCCTTTACAGCTTCTTGCTGCACTTCAGACCCATCCTTCCTTCATGTAGCTTTTCTGGGGGTTTAAGTGTATCTTTAGGCTAGAAGGAGCCATATGGTCCTGGGAGACCTGGATTATAAGGCAGTTCCATCACTGGAAGTTGTTACATATATGGTCACCAACTCCAGGTTGTACAGCAGCAATCCTTTCGTGACTCATCACAGATGATCCTAAAATAGGTGAGAAAGTAAATTATAATGAAGAAGTAAGAAGTTTGCAGATGGATATGCATAAGTGAATAGGCCAAAATTTGGTAGATGGAGTTTAACATGGATTTGGTTGGAAGAAGTTTGGTTGAAAAAGTCATCTTATTATCTTAATGGAGAGAAACTTCAAATGTTTTGGTGCAGGTGGATCTTGCTGACCTCATGCATGAGTCGCAGAAAGCTCGTATGCAGGTACAGCAGGTCATGAGGGAGTGCAAATGGAGTTCTGGCATTTATTTCTGAAGGAATGGAGCAGAAAAATAGGGAAATATTTTTGCATTTGTACAAGGCATTGGTGAGAGACTCCATCTGCAATACTGCATACGGCTTTTGTCCCCTTACTTGAGGAAGAACATAATTGCATTGAAGGCTTTTCAGAGAAGGTTCATTAGATTAATTCCAGAGGTGAGGGGTTTGTCTGATGAAGAGAACTTGAGCAGTTTAGGGCTGTACTCAAAAGAGTTTTGAATGATGAGAGAAGAACTAATTGAGGTATGTAAAATGCTAAAGGGATTGACAAAGTATATTCCCTTTGTGGGACCATCCAGAATGAGAGGTAATAGTTTTCAGCTAGGGGTGGCTGATTTAAAACAGAGAAGAGGATGAATTACTTCTCAAAAGGCTTGTGAATCTGTGGAATTCGCTACCCAGAGTGCAGTGGATGCTGCGACACTAACTAAATATAAGGAGAAGATAGATTTGTAATTGTTAAAGGATTATGGACGGCAGGCAGGAAAATGAAGTTCAGGCCAAGTTGAGATCACCTGCGATTGTATTGAATTGCAGAGCAGGCTTGCAAGGTTGAATTGTCTGCTCCTGTTCCTAGTTCCTATTACTTGAATTTCAGTGGTGGAGTTTGGATGAATCGGTCCAGGACCTAATGGTCAATTAACTGTGTCTCAAGCTTAAAACAAGTGGCCCAACAGCAGGTGAGCCTTTACATTCAGAAATTAATAACATTAACAGGAATTATTTCCTTCAAATACCCCATAACAATCACTTGTCCAAACTCCTATCCTTGACTCAACTATTCTCTTACCTTTTATCCTTTCAAGCAAAAAGAGGTCATGAAGGCATTTTATTACTATAGGTAATCACTGAAGGTAACTTTGAATGAATTAATAAACTTGTTCCATGATCTTGGATACACTTGCTGTATTTTTATTCATTAGTTATAAAGCATTTCCTTAACAAGGCTCTCTAAACATTCACTTTGTACACCATTTCCTGGGTTAGAATGATTTTACTATATCTGTCTCCCAAAATCAATGTGTCAAAAGTTCCAGAGTTTTGTTCTCGATGAAGTATTGACTATTGACTATGATGGCAAGGAAAACAATACGTTCCTGTATTGCCTTTAGTTACAGAAGCAATTTCACAATTGACTTCCATTGTTTCACGTGACAATTTAGCTACACAATCACTTGATTAACACAACTTGTGAGCCAGAAAGACATTGACTAATTTGCATTTATTTCCCAACCAAGACACAGTAACCTCTTTTCATGCCATAGATTTTATCGGGTTCTATGGTTTTTTGGTTTCAGCGTCCATACTGAAAGTGACTCCACATTTAGATTAATGAAATGTGAGAATCATTTCGTTGATGAAAAATGTTGATTAATTGACTACAAAATTCATTAACCTCTTTTATAAACCAATGGATATTTCATAGATTTTATAGTTCTGAGGAAGGGTCACTAGACCTGAAACATTAACTCTGATTTCTCTCCACAAATGCAGCCAGACCTATTGAGCTTTTCCAGCAATTTCTTTGTTTGGTTTTGATATTTTATAGATATTCTTTAAAGTAATCAGTACGGCATAGCAGAAACATGTTTTGAAATAGTTTTCTTAATTATCTTATTTGTTGGATTTTTTTTTAAGAATGGCACCAGTATGATGGCATCCTGAACTATGCACCCCTGCAGGGTTTTATATATGCAATGAAAAATTTCAGGCAACTTGGAATGACTCCTGCAGAAAGGATTTTTCAGTCAAAGTGTACAGGAGGACAAGTTATGCTGGAGACTATCTTTAACCTTCCTGAGTCCTTGAATAATGCAAGATTTGAGCAATTTAAACTACAACTGAAACACTTTCAGCTGTGCCACCAGTTGGCTTTTGAACAAGAGTGGTTTACAAATACACAAACTAATTTTGATGAAAAAGAGGTAAACATTTTTTTCAAAATTGTTATGAAAAGATGGATTGTAATAAGAGGAAAGATTAATAAACTGGGTCTATATTCTGTGGAGTTTAGAAAAACGAGAGTGATCACATGCGCACATACAAAATTCTTACAGGGATTGAGAAGGTAAATGATGGAAAGATGTTTCCCCTGGTCAGGGGTGTCTAGAACAGGGATACAGTCTTTGAAGAAGTGGCAAACCATTTTGAAAGGACTAAGATGAGGAAGAAATCCTTCACTTAGAGAGGTCTTATTAATTACACACACCTCACCTATGGTGTCCTTCATGTCCCATTCATGGACAGTTCTACCATATCTTGTTTCCAGAACAACTTGACACTCCGTGAATATCTGCTGATCCCTTGTGCCTGAGAGGCGGCTGTTCTCCCAGACAGACATTGGCATTGCTCACACTGCTCCTCTGTACTTCACATGGGAAGACCATGGTGGCGTTCATGGCCAATAACCCCTCCCCCTATAGAATATGTGCCATCTGATGCTCATCTGCATTGTTTCCATCCTCCTTGAACATTCCACCATCCCTCCCCATCACCATGCTTCATCCCACCTCCACAAATACCTCTGCTTGACTCTTCTGTCCCTTTGGGCAGTGATCCAGCTGATGCCCTTACAAACTCCCAGGACTGTATTCACCCACCCCCCCAATCGTTTCTAACCAACTTCATCAAGCACCCTCGACGTGACAGACCCCTGATCACTGTCTTTGCAGCTCCCCTTGACTGCTGCTGCTGGCCTTACAGGACTGACCCCGGACTGTGTTTGGTCAGATCCCCGACAGTGAGTGTCCCAAGCTGCGACTGACTGTGGCCAAACTGCTTGAGTTGTGTGTGGGTTGTGCCCGTGAACTGATTGTGTACCAGGAGCTCCTGACCACAATAGTGCACCCTCTTTTCCCCCAAATCCTTGACTGGACTGAAGACTAGACCCCAGCCACTTTCCAACATAGCCACGTGCAGTGGCACATGCTGTAGGTGTCAAACTGATGTCTTAGTGTGCCTCTGTCCATCAACATTTACTCCCAGCCCCAGGGAGATATTGCTGCAGAGAAGCAACCTGTCTGTGTGACTGTGCACAACAGCTCATCAATATTGATAGCTTGGCTGTGGCTGAAGTGCCAATGCAATAACTGGCATGACATGGCAGGCAAGGCATGGATGCTGTGAGCATGCAGGTAAGTGCTGAGAGGATGAGCACTAAGAGAGCAAGCAGGCAGCGCTGAGATGCAGCCTGGTCCATCTGTGAGCAGTGCGCCTGTTCCTGTGCCTAAAATCTCCTTTCTACAACCTTTCAATGTCAGTCATCATTGAGTGCAGCAATGTAAAGTCCGAACATCCTTAGCATTCTGAAAATAGATTGGAGAAGGTCCACAAATCAGTAGTGAGGGGTTGGGTGCCAGTGACCATGGATGAGGGATGTGTGCAACCAGTGCAGATGGATCATGCCCTGAGATGCTGTTTGTTGCTGAGCAACATGGAGACCCCTCACAGTTGGTGGTGAGCTGAAGTCACGATGAACCCACTCTGATTTCCAAATCGAGATTTCTCCACATCTAGCTTGTCTGGCATGTTTGGTAAGATAACTAGCTGAATGTTAATGAAGTGAGTTGGGGGTCTTAACAAAGTATTCACAAGCTATAATCTGCCATTTCTTATTGATGGGATCGCGGGCTGGCCATCATTTGTTGCCCTCCCATTGCTGCCCTTGAAAAGGTGGTGGTGAGCTTGGGGGAAAAGGTACAGTTCACGTAACTGTGCTTAATTGACAACTAGCAAGAAACTCAGCAAAAGTTTAAAGGTGGAGCAAGGCCCTTCCGATGTCAAGATAAGCCTGGTCCAAGAGGCCTCGGCTCAAGTCTCACCTGCTCTAGAGGTGTGTAATAACATCTGTGAACAGATTGATTCGAAAAATAGATTACATAAAAAAATTCAAAAAAATTTTAAAAATTCACTTTTACCAAATGCTATCCTGAGTAGAAACCTCTGCAGTGGATAGCTCAGTTAGGAAGAGGTCTGTTATGTTGTCAACTCTCTTCTCAAAAATAAAATGCTTGAGCCCACTGTCCTTACAAATTGCTCCTTCTCTAACCTTTTTATTTCCTTTCCAAATTCCTAGATTGTGCAATTGCATCCCAAAATTCCATGTCCATCTTTTCCTGAAATTACATTTTTGAAGTTCCCACCTCCCTTACAGTTTCCTACACTGCTATAGTACCAAACCAAATGCCATCCCAAGTGACTGTGACAAGGGTAAATTGGCAATGATGTATGGGGCATTGGCTGATAAACATGATGTTGTGGAGCTATTTGAGGCTCCCCACTCCCCTTACTAACCCATACTCTTCCTGCTATCCTCACCATGGGAATATGTCAATTTCCTGTCTTGGTGTTCATTGCTCACTGGCAAAATGTTAATAAGTTCAGGGCTTACTGTGGTACAAACGAGCAAGGGAAGCTTCCATTTGACGCTAGTGATTTCAGAACTGTATAACATAAAATTCAGATTTTCTTATCCTCCTTGAAGCAAAATTCTGATTTTTTTCTAAGTTAAGTGTAATCGGTGGAAGGAATGAACGTAATAAACCATTCAAATTGAAATTTCCTGTGCTTTTCAGTTTGATTGTTGACTTGCAGCATGAGCTTACACTTGTATTCTCATAGAAAAATTCCAGAAGAGGTGGGAAGTTAAAAGCCTAATTTTAATTTCTCAATATTGAATCTAATGCTTTAATACAAGTGTCACTTTTTAAAAAAGCAAGTCTTTATTTGGTTTCTATTTCCTAACAATTTATTTTTAATTTAAATTACAGGTTAAAAAATTGATAATTGAGCAGGTGCAGAAATTTCTGCTCCCTTACACTAAGCCAGAACCTAAAGAGGCAAAAAAATCCAAAAGAATTGTGAAAAATCCATTTGTAGCTGGAATGGTGGCATTTGTTATTCAGAACCATTGCTCTTTGGCGTTGGATGCAAGTGACTTGATAACTATCTGCCACATGTTACAAATGCCTCAGGAGTGTACAGATGAGCATCTCCAACACTTGAAAGAATTTGCAGCGTTTTTCCCAAAACATCAGTAGTAAGTTCAGTGAATTAATTTTACTTTTATACCTTGCCTTGCATTTTAACTTTCTTTTCCTGATTGTCAAAATCTGCTGGGATTTTAGAGCTCTAATCCAGAATTTAGTTTCAATTGCATATTTTTGTTGCACCATTTTCTGATTGCGTACAAGACATAACACAAAAAAGATAGGTGATTGCTCCATGGAATATCATTAAGCTCTTCCCCGTCCCATGGCAATAATCAGGTATCTTTGAGTGATAGTTCAGTACCTCAGACTTGTTGCTAGAAGGTAAGTGATTGATCTGGAAAAGTACTGCAACAAGTTATGTTTACATGTCCAGCTATCTGTTCTAACAACACCACTATGTGTTCTCTTTCTTGCAATTTTCTACCCCATACCTGTTTCTTTATTTTTTTCAGGTTTTTGTGTTCCTTGCTCCAAAGTAATTTGAAAAGTATTTTGAACTTTTAAAAATAGTTAGAAAGGAAGACCTGGACTGTTTTATTCCAGAGAACCAGCTGGGAAAGGATGGAACTGGAGCAAATCTTTACACACTTTTATGTTTATTCAGAGTTACACATTACAAAAATTGAGGTACTTATGTACAAAAATGGAACAAAGTGTAACACACCTTCTTCGAAAGCAGGCGGACTATTGTATACCACAGAAGGCACTTTAGGATTTTGTCTCTGAACTAACTGATAGTGACTATGCTGCTATCATTTGGACTGAATTCTTGGCATGGACAGTTGTTATCATGAAGTTTGGGTGATCAAATAAAATTGTATGCAGATTTCATCAAACACCCAATGATCCCTTGAATAGAGTCTGCTGCTGAAAGGAGTTTCAGCTATGGTATTCATGGCCATGATTTTCATATTTTCGCTTGTCTCCAAACTCTTCCATTTTCACAAATGTATTGAGTCAGGTCCCAATCTATTTGTCCATTGTTATGTCTATATTAATTCTTTTGTCCGAACTGTGCATTATTGTAGAAAGACTAAATCTTGTCACCTGGTCTACAAAATGTAAAGTGAAAATATTATGTCTTTGTCCCATATCTTTAGATGCATGACGGGGCCCTTGTAGACATCCTGAGCCAATATAGCTTACAATAGGCAGTGGAGACACCTTCTGATACTTAGTACAAATGTTCCATTTGTCATAAATCTCTATTCACTCCACGTACTCAACAACCGTACCTGCATCTTTTAACAGCATTTTCAACCTTTGACAAGTAAAGTGAAAATGTCATTATTGTGGTTTTAAGATAATTTTCTCTTTGATTCATATCACCTGATCCCATTAACACTTGTCTAACAGACTGATGAAAGATACCAGATTTTATTAAAGGAATGCAGTAATTTCCTGACTGAGTGAACTGCCGATCCACTAACCTTCAAAAACATTGCCTTGTCATGTTCGATGTCAAGTTTCATTTTTACCTTTGTCACATGTTTATTCAACAGCATAGATATCTCAGTAGAGTCTACATCTTTAATTATAAAGTTGCTTACTCCAAATATCTTACTTGGAATTACAACTCTATGCAGTGACCTCAACTTGTTATCCTCACTGAACCTAAATCAAGTAGTACTTTTATGTTTTTTCACCTGTGTCAATTTTCATTATATTGTAAATCAAGGCAAATCAAAACAAACTAACACAAACAAAAACAGAAATTATTGGAAAAGCTCAGCAGGCCTGCTAGCATCTGTGGAGAGAAATCCGAGTTAATGTTTCAGGCCCAGTGATCCTTCCTCAGAACAAGCTTTAACTATTTTATTCGCACATGATTGAACTGCAAGCATTATCTAATACTGTACAACCTTCACATTCATCAGACTAAAACTCTTTGTCATGTGTATTCTCCAGTTCTGTCTTCTGCTATAATATCTAGATTTGATAAACATACATTCTTTTTAAATCTGTCTTTCTTTAACCATTCCATCGTATTGATGCCTGCATCCAGTATCAGGGCCATTTTGAAATGTGGGCGTCATTGAGTGCTTTGTTCTTTATGTCATCGTGGAATGTCCTATTTGTTCCAGGATGTCTGAAGCAAATAACTAAACCCCCAGGAATTTTTTGAAGGCTCTCCATTTCCCAAACACTAGTTAGTACCAGGAGTCTATCCCTATCAGACATCTTAGCACAATCCAGCAATGTTAATGTCAGTACTCATCCAGGGATCCTCAGATTACATCACAAGAAGGGTATACTGTTTAACATATGCCAGTGTCATCTCTACTTTTTTGTTATTTTCCTGTCATTTTACAGCAGTGACATTCAGAGAAAAAAGCCTGACCAGACAGCTTAATCTTGAGTACTAAACAAAAACGCAAGAAGTTCGGAACAAGATTATCCATTGACCCTGCTTTACAATTCAATATTATCATGGCTGATGCTCAGCTTTAACTCTACTTTCTCACCCCCACCTCATTTTTCAATTCCCTGAGAGATCAAAAATCTGTTACCCCAGCCTTAAATATATTCAGTGATGGCATGTACACAACCCTCTGGGGTAGAGAATTCAGAGATTCACAACCCTTCACATCTCAGTCCCAATTGATCATACTACTTTATCCTGAGACTGTGCCCCTGTATTTTAGATGCCTCAGCCAGCAAAAGCAGTCTGTCAGGGTTTACCCTGTCAATTCCATTCAGAATCGTTAATAAAATGCAAAGTGTTACATATTCTTCCTTTATCTGTTTGTAGAGCTCATGAATTTTTTTATACTTTGGATAATATTGTACCTTTGAAGCTGTCTATAATAGTAACTCACAATAAATTTTATTAACTGGTTCACCTAATCATTTTTTTTTTGAGAAACTGATACAGGTAGTTCCTTAACTGGGTTTGGCCTTGCACTAACACCGTAATTGTATTTCCTTCCAGTACCTTTACAGCATTGATTAATCACTGCATTTCTCAAGAAGTTTTGGAATTTGTGCAAGTTGTACCACTTCTTCACTGGTGTATGAAACAGTATCAACTGTCAGTGAGCAGTGACACCCGTTTAAGCAAGTTAGAACCACTGCAAGGAGTTTCCTATAAAAGCTTTCGATGCAGGATAACAGGCAAACCTGAAATAAGAAGGTGACATTTATAAGTGTTTTAACTACTTTCTGATAAACTCTGGGGCAAAATCTTAGTGCAATGCTGTTCAGAATTGGTTAATTTGTTAATTCATTTCTTTAAAGATACAATAATGATTCCAGTATGATTACTTTTCAGCTGTTAATGAGATGTAGACTTCATTGACTGGATCAGCATTTCTTCCCTATCCTTAATTGTCCTTGAGAAGGTGGTGGTAAGCTGCTTTTGCAGTCTACTTGGTCCAGATGTATCTACAATGCTATTCAGAAAGGAGTTTATGGAACTCGACACATACAGAGCAGATAATCAAAGTGTTCTGTTGACATCATGTCAGGGCACAGGATGAATCTGCAGGTTGTTTCCATTTTCTGTCAAACAGGGAAGGCAAAGATAGATTTTTGAACAGTAAAAGAAGTAAGGGTCATGGTGAGCAGGTGTATAAGTGGAGCTAAGTCCACAAAAAGATCAGCCATGATCATATTGAATAGCGGAGCAGGCTCAACAGGCCCGATGGCCTACTCCTGCTATTTCTAATGAACTTATTCGCTTTATACACGTGGCACCAAGAACGAGCACTTCTGCTATAATGTGATAGTTGCGTTCCTGTGCAACATCGCTGTGTAGTAAATTATGTTATAGAAATAACGGAGCCTATGGGAAAAGTGGGGTTGGGGCAGACCATCAATAAAAATCACTCAAAAATCACTCAATATTTTAACACAAAGGACAGCACAGTTTGAATAAATGTTTAATAATGAAATAAAAGTAAATTTAACACCTTATTTTGAAAAAAAAATGTCAAGGTGACTTGATGGGGGAGGAGGTTTTGAGGTTGCTCTGTTAATGCAGGGGCTGAGGGTCATCGTCATCATCATCATCACCTTCAGGTGTAGTTGTGGTTGCAGGTTTAGGGCGAAGAATAGTTAATCCAGAAGTGGATGGCTGTGGTTCATTGTGTTCTGACTGTTTCTTGGGGGTTGGCTTTAAAAAGACACCCAGTTTTTGCTGCTTTGTCATTTTTCTTCTTTCATGAAGAAGCTGTTCATAGGGTGCCAAATCAGATCTTATTCCACGAACAGCTACCCTGCTGCGTTCTGCAATGTAATCATTGTCCTCTAAGAGCTGCAACTGCTTCTCAATTTCCCTCAGGATAGAAGACAAAACAGATGTGGAAGTTCTTGTGGTGCTGCATCCTGGACTTCATCTTCTTCATCCCCAATTTCCACATTCCCCTCAGCGACAAGTTGTTGTACATCAGCTATAGAGAGGTCTTCACAGTGGGACTCAAGCAGCTCTTCAACATATTCTCTCCACTTTTTCAAATCCAACTTGCTTTGCAAGATCAACACAATGTTCTTTGATTCTTGGGATCTCCTCTGACAGTTCAAACATTTTAAAATCTTGAAAAAAATCTTGGAGAAGCTTCCACCAAACTGCATGCAAGCAGTCTTTACTGACGTTACCCCAGGCCTCCACGATAATGTCAGTTGCATTCTTGATGTTAAAACTCTTTCAAAATTGAAGAACTCTGTCCTTATCTCACTCAGTGGCTGCAATCAGCCCCTTAAATTTGTGCTTTAAATTAATAAGCTTTAAAAGCTGCTATTGCACCCTGGTGCATGGATGGAAGGAGGGAAGTTGTGTTTCGGGTTGGAAGTAGAAGTTTGATGTTTTCAGAAAGTGCACCAATGGTGGGAGGATGGCTTGGTGCATTTTCCAGGATGAGAATCTTGAAATCCAAAGTTTATTTTCCCTGCAGTATTTTCTAAAAACATCTTCCAAAACATCAACAATAAGGTCACTAATGGAATCACATTATAGCCAATACAAGTTCGCATTTTATAAATAGCGTTCCCCTATTTGTCAGTCGTGTTATAGAGCCAATTTGTGTTGCCAGAACATGCATATAGCAGAATCCCCTGCATGTGTATCATAATGCCTTTAATGTAGAAGACTTTACAAGAGAGTTAGTGAATGAACCACAACACAGCTGCATAAGGAGCCTTTTTTTCATGCATGTGTCCCTGGCTGGGTCAGCATTTATTACATATTGCCCTTAAGAAAGTGCTGGTGAGTTTCCTTCTTGAGTCCATTTGCTATAGGTAGACCCACAATGTCATTCGAGAGGAAGTTCAGGATTTTGACCCTATGTTGCTAAGGGAATGTCGATATATCTCCAAGTCAAGATGGTGAGTGGCTTGGAGGAGAACTTGCAAGTGGTAATGCTCCCATGTATCTGCTGCCCTTGTCCTTCAAGATTACATTGGTTATGTGTTTAAAAGGTACTGTGAAAGGAATCCTGGTGAATGAGAATAGGCTCTATGAACAAGATTTTAAGCAGTTTTTAAAGCAGGAGTGAGAGGCAGAGGTAGTTAGGGAGTGGGATAAGGACTTTTTCAGCTAAAGCTGCAACAACCAATGTTGGAACAGTTAAAACAGGAACATGCAAGAGTTCAGAACTGGAGCAGCACAGAGATCTGAGTATCATGGACAAGGGGTTAGTGAAGGTCAGCAAGCACGAGATGAATAGGAGTTGGTGCAACAAAGCAATATAGGCAGCAGAGTTATAGCTGAGTTCAAGTTTATGGAGAATTCAAGTTGGTTTGCCAGTCAGGAGTGCATTGCAGTTATCAAGCTAGGAGATAACAAAGACATGGATGAAGCAGGGAAGCAACTGGTGATATTAGGAAGTGGAATTAGGCAGTGACAGTTAATAGAAAAGTTGATGTGAAGCTGAAAGCTCATGGCTAAACGAAAGATTTAAGTTTAAGTTTCCTTTACACCTGCAAATAGATACCACAGGTGTGTTAATTGTTTTGTAAGTATTGCAAAAATTTGCATTTGGTCTCATGGCTTGTATGTTACCGACTATAGGAGATGGAGAGCTACAGGCTGGCATGTAATTTATCAGCTTCACTTGTACTCTTTACAACACTGAGTTTTGTTATCCAATAATTGATTCATTTCGTAAGCAGAGTGAATTTTTCATTCCTTTGTAGTGCTTATCTGTAAATGATGTTGTCTATCTTTTATATCACAGACAATGGTGGTGCCAGTGAAGAAATCTGTGATCTATTGATTTTGCCTTATAGGCTTCATGGGCCTTTCTTAGCTCTGCTTTCTGCATGTCATGACCCAGTTTAGACAAACTTGGAGCTGGAAGCCAATGCCTGATGTATTTAATGAAAAATTCTGCATCCAAATTTCCAACGTGTACAACCATTGTATAAAGCTCCGTTCATTTCTATTATCAATTCACTTATCCCATTATTGACTGCATCTGGAAGATGGTGTGAAAGTAGAAGCTGAATTGCACCAAAGTTGTCTTGCCCTATTTCTTACTTTTTTTTCTGAATATCTACAGCTTACCAGTGAACCCATAATGTTACAGTAATTTGGGAGATCTGGGCTTGAATGGATAGATTCACAGTGACACTCATCTTGAGATGAACCTGACTGCAGACAGTGCTCAGCACATTGTGATGAGTTAATGTAACAGCAGTGCAGGGATCTAGTTGACCAGAGGGGTTATAAAATATTTCATAATGATTGGACTAGTCCATTTAGCTCCTTGAGTCGGTTCCATTTTCCAATTAGCTGGTTGATCTACATCTTAGTTCCATCTATTGTATCTATCTTAGTTACAATGCGTTACAATACAATACAATTCAATGCACCTAAGGAACAGGCCCTTTGGCCCACCAAGCCTGTGCTGATTCTAATCCTTATTTAGACCTGTTACGTCTTGCCCATGCTCGGTTTCTATTCCTCTGTTCGCCTCCCATTCATGTGTCTATCAAGATATGCCTTAAATGTTGCTAATGTGCCTGCTTCCACTAACCTCCTCTGGCATTGTGTTCCAGGCACCCACCACCCTGTGGGTGAAAACATTTCCCCCTACTTCTCCCCTAAACTTTCCACCTGTTACCTTGAAACTGTGCCCTCTTGTAGTTGACCTTTCCACCCTGGGAAAAAAAAACCCTCTGACTATCCATACAAATATCTTAATACTCTCACCTAATATAAAATCTATGAAGCTCTGTTTTTGAGTTTTTGACTGACTCCTAGCTTCAATAAGTTGTAGTTGGGGATGAGGTGAAGTGTGTTCCAGATTTCCACTGCTTTTTAGTGAAGAGGTGCTTCCTGACACCACGCCTGAACAGTCTATCTCCAGTTTTGTCGTTATGTGCTCCCTTGTTCTGGACACTCCAACAGGGAAAATAGGCTATAGAAAGAAAAACTGTCAATTCTATTAATCATTTCAAACATCTCAATTAGACGACTTCTTCATCTTCTGTATTTCAGAGAGTACATGGATGTTTGGTCTTTGCAACACATTTAAAAATTTATAATAATGTAGCTAGCTAAGGAAAATACACTTAACATGGAAGAAATGTAACAACTTTTGAGATGTATGCTTTTTATTGTTGCTTTAGAAAATTACTGGACCTCGTGTTCCAGATGAAGCTTATGACTGAGAAAGACCCGACACTGGTTCTCACCTGGTTTTCATTGATTGCAACTGACGATATTCCTGAATATTCAAAGGAAATGGGAATGGCCCTGAAACATGTTGCACAAGAATTCATGTACAGATTACAAGAGTCTGAAAAGAAAATGGAAAAGTATAGCCATAAACTGTGCCATGAAGATGTTCAGGTTTGTTTTAAGTGTTTTTGTTGATGAGTTTCGAACTCACTGATATTCATCACAAACTACAGTTCATCCTGAAGCTTTATAGTGAAACATGATCATTATAAAACTGCACCCGTTGTAATTTATATTGGAATAGCTGTCCGTGTTATGTGAGTGCATCACTCTGCCTGATCTACAAAACGGACAACGTCTGATTTTTAGATATAAATGCTGCAGAACTCCATTCTGTAGCATCTGTGTATTCAGTGCTGATGGTACCAGACACCACATTCTCTAGGATATTACTGTGTGTGTGTAGATGTATGTAGAACAGGTAGATCATGATGCCAATGAACAGGCAATGCTGATTCAACATCAGAGGTGCAACTTTGGAACTCAACATTCCAGTTAACATTGTGCCATAACCTTGTACAGCGCACCAGAGAAGATTAGGTGGAGCCACAACATGGCTTTGCGACGATCACAGATTTTCCTTTGGCAAAGAGGTAGGTTGTTGATTGTTAAGGGGATCAAGGGTTACGGGGAGAAGGCAGGAGAATGAGGTTGAGAAACACATCAGCCATGATCGAATGGCGGGATGACTTGATGGGCTAAATGGCCTAATTTTGCTCCTATATCTTATGGTTTTATGGTCTTATAGATAGCACACACATTGCTCTGAGATGTATCTCAAGCAGAATGGATATCATTCTCTCAATATCCGGCTAATGTGTTACCATTCTCAGGATAACATGCAAGTGAATGGGCCTATATGTTGATAGGAGTGACTGGGGCAAACAACTAGGGTATACTGGGGAAACTAGTTTTGTAAGTTGGGGAGGCCAGGATCAGGGGACATAATCTAAAATATAGCACCAGACTTTTCACAAAGGATGGTAGATGCTTTCTGCAAGTAGCAATCAATGCTGCATCAATGGTTAATTTCAAAGTTGAGATTGATACACTTTTGTGGACCAAATATATTGAGGGATATGAGGGAAAGTTTAAGGCAAAATTAAGTGACTGTTCAGCCAAGATCATATTTGGATGGTAGAAGAAGCCTGAAGGGCCAAATGGCTTCCTTCTGTTCTTTTGTTCCTGAGAAATGAAGCTTTCATTCTGTAGGAGTCTGTTGTGCCTACGACAGTTGGTCACTGCAACAAACCAGAAGATAGCTACTGGGTGAGAAGGGCTATCTGTTAAACATATCGCTCATGAATGCAATGCACAACTTTCTCAGGCATAAGTAGCATTCATCAAACAAAGAGCCTGCTGCCGTACAAAATGTGTTCAAGCAGACCATGGGGATTTCCAAACAATACTTTCACTGCCTGGACTGTTCTGGTGGAACTCTGCAGTACTTTGCAAGTCAGGATTCATTGTGGTCTACTGTAAGCTGCACCACCTCACCACTGCCCCTGCGACTAGGAATATAGTGAAAGCGGAGGAGGAGAAAGGAAGTTGGAAACCAATAACTGCACTCCCTTTCTGGGCCTGATTGTTAGTGCTTGACTCACATTGAGTGAATGCATCTCAATTCCCCTTCACTAGCAGTCCTAAACCTGACCATCTCTCTACTACTGAACGTCACCATGTCCACTTGGCCACAAAACTGAACTAGATATTCCTCAGCAACTTTATAAATCAAACTCACCTTTATTTAACCCACCTAATCTAACCTTCCAAATAAAACTCCTTGTGTTTCCCTTGGCGCTTGCCTTCTGTGTGCCTTTGCCCATCTTAGTGTTTCCACCAGTCTCACCACAGTGACTGTAGCATGATGGAAGGCTGTTGATGTCCAGTGGGTGAGACTGCAGATGGCCTTGCAGTTGAACAGGTTTAGAAACGTAGAAAATAGGAACAGGAGTAGGCCATTCAGCCCTTTATGCCTGCTCCAGTATTCATCACAGCTGATCATCCAACTTAGCAGCCTGTTCATGCTTTTCCCTGATATCCTTTTTTCCCTTTAGCACCAAATGCTATACCCAACTCCTTCTTGAAATCATACAATGTTTAAATTCTATTTTTAAAAGACTCAGATTCGGACTGCATCACTTCATGGGTGGCGGCACTCTGGGCTTTGTGGCTGAGAGGCATAGCAAGGTGGAGGGACAGTTGCTGGGGGCTGGGGGGGTGCAGTGTGGTGTGAATGCTTTCAGCTTAGAGAGGACAGAACGGTTGGGCTGTACGGTGCAAGTCTCAGTCGCTAGGAGTGGCACCTCAGAAACAATGATTTCCTGGGCCACTTTGAGAGCCTATTAGCCCTAAACACAGCAATGATTACAACAGGCCAAACTTTAGCAGCAAACACAGCACCAAACTGAAATTGTGTAACTTTAGTCTAGGCTCCCATTGCACTAGCTGGATGTTGGGTGACTTCTACTTGTGTTGCAATGGTAGCTAAGATACCTATCATCAAATGTGGCATCATAGTTAGTTAATCATCATAGTTAATTTTGCTTGTGTGTTCATCTCCAATTCCACACTGGAAAGGACATTCTAAACTCTTCATTACCACTTTTTAATTTGTTGAATGTTACAATCAGTAAACTTAAATATTATCTCATTATTTTACAGGCATTTGGCAAAATCATCTGTTTAATGAAAGAAAAGGTAGACCAACAATCAGACAGGTAAATTTTACATTTTGGATGCCACTTGACTATGACAAATGCTAACAATGTTTGGTTATCTGTTATTATCTTGGTAAAGCACTACTCACTAGAACATTGTTCTCACAATTTGTCTTCCTCTAGTTTTGTCTTTTCCCTTTAGAAGTCTTCTAAAGGGAAATGTAGTTTTAATACCATTTCCTTAATCAACTTCACTGAATGCTCAACACTGCCTCCTTTTCTCTACCTACAACTTGTAGGAAATTGTAACCAGTTGTCATCGTGATTGCTCTTGGATGTTTCCTTCACTTTAGTAAGAATTGCCAAACAAGTTTTATTTTCACAATATACATTTTTCATACATAAAATATCCCTCAAGTTACTTCCCAAAAAGAATAAACTATTGTTAAACAAATTGTGGAGGAAGAGAATAGAAGGAATGACCAAAGGCCTGAAAAAGCTCGGGTTTAATACGGTTTCTAAGGACAGAGGGTGTTGTCAAAGGGATTTAGGGAGTGAGATCCAGAGAGCAGGGCTGAGGCAGCCAAATGTTCAGTCAGCGACAGGAAAAGAGAGTAAAATGTATTAAAGGCCAGAAGTTGATAGTCAGGAGTTGGGATGGAATTTAAAGTTGGAGATCACAGAATTAGGTAATTTAAATTTGAATGTGCTTAGAAAAAAGAAATCTGTGTAGTTCAGTGTGGATGGAAATGATGAATGGCTTTTATTGGATGAATACATATAGGTAACCCTGGTTTTAACAATTTAAATTTTATTTGAGTTTGGTTGGCATCAGGGCCAAATTGAGGGCAAAGGCCATCAGTGTTACAAAGGTGACTGTGATATTTGGAGTTTATCTCTTCAAAGCTTTGCATTGGCAGGTTCAGAACTCGATAAAAATAAGCTGCCATTGTTCCAGACGACTGCTGTCTTATTAGAGAGAGGCAACTGTTGGTGAGTTTAGTCTGAGGGTCAAACGACTCAGACAAAGGACGAAGTTGAGAAGGCAGGACTGTCATGGTAACCTCAGCCAGTGCAGGAATTGAACTGTTGGTGTCACTCTGCATCGCAAACCAACCATCCAGCCACCTAGGCCAAACTATATTCTGAAGCAGTGTGTGGTGTATGTGGTGAGTGAAGTCACTGTCAAGGTAGTTGAATTAGTGTTCACGGAGGAAAACAAAGGCTTTTGTTTACTCTAATGACGGAAGTTGCAACTCATCCTTGACATAGAGCAGACAGTCTGACTGCATGAAATACTCGAGGGTTCATGTGAAATGATGGAGGCTTGGAGGTTATAAGCATATATGTAATAGTTGGCCCCATCTGTGGATGATGTTTTTGTGGAGCAGCAAGTCAGTAAAGATTGTGTAAATTTGGGTGGGAGGACCGAACTGGAACAGATCCATTCTTAACTGAGAGCTCATTACAGTTTTGTGAAAGTATGTAGTTGAATTACTAAATTAACAACACAGTTAAATATACACGCAAAGTGACCACATACAATTCAGAGCATCCAACATAGCCCTGGTTATTTATGTACCAATAATGAAATAACCCAGAATTTTTGAAATGAATGATTCCCTCTTGTTAGTAATTGGGTTTCCATGCTTCTTTTTGCAGTGGGAATATCTCTCAGTTCCCAGAAAATTGCTTGAAATGGAGTATTAAGATGCATACAATAATTTGCAAACTGACTGAGGCCACAGGACTATATGAAGTTCCAGCTCTTTCATTTCAGCTTGTAATTAAATTTGCTGAAAAAATAAAGGGACTACTAACAGAGGTAAGCCTTTAACCAATTGGTATGTAAAATGCAGTAGACCTTGTTGCCTACAAGAAAAATATTGCATTGATATAACATCCTACATGTCCTCAAGTTATTGTAAACAAAAGTCGATGAATTACTATTGTTGAATTCCCTACTATCAACATCTTGAGGGTTACCATTGGCCAGAAACTGATCTGGAAAGGCCTTTGTAATACTGTGGCTATAGGAATCGGTCAAAGGCTAAGAATTCTGAGGTGAGCAACTAACCATCTGATTCCCAAAGCTTGTTCACCATCTACAAGATGCAAATCATGAATGTGATGAAATATTCCCCACTTGCTTGACTGATTGCAGTTCCATTAACATTTCAGCAGCTCAACATTATCCTGGGCTCAAGCAGCCCACTTGATCAGCACCCCATTCTTAACATTCGTTCCCACCACTATTGATGCAGACCAACGTCAGTGTATGTTAATATGATCTACACTGCAGTATTTATCAAGGCTCCTTTTACATCCTTCTAATTCTTCAAACTCAACCACCGAAGGAAAACACAGAACACTGACGTCTGCAAATTCCTTCAAGGCCACAATCATCCTGACTTGCAATAATATCACCATTCCTTCACTGTTGCTGGACCATAATACTCAAAAACACTTTCTAACAGCACTGCAGGTCTACTTGCCCCAATGGACTGCTGCGGTTCAGGAAGGCAGCTCACCACAGCCTTCTGAAGGGAATTTAGGGATGTTCAATAAATGCTGGAACAGCCAGCTGTTTCATATTCCATGAATGAATAAAGGAAGAGATGAGTAGTGGTTTGTCTTTTATTTAACAATTGAATCTGGATCCCTTGGTATCAGTAAAATAAAACTTTGATTCTATTGTTGGAGAATAATCTAGTTGGTTATACCAGTGCCATACATTTGGGTCCCCACCTGAATTTGTGGGGTCACTGGGAAGGCATCTCATTTAAATTGTCTGTGCAGTTGCCATTTCTGGTTCATCTCAGCATGTTTCTGCTCGTGCCTGCTCGCCCAGAGAGAAAAAAATATAGTAAAGAAAAGGTTGATACTGGTAAATGTGACATAATGGTAACTGCAATATACCTGTCTTACTGGTCCTCCGCTTTGAAGTGTACATGTCCAGTCAGACCATTACATTTCATTTACTGGCATTAACTCTTTACTTCTGGGCATGCATTGGGCTCTCTGAACACAGGTTCAGTCTACATTAATTTATTATTCTGTTCTATTTGAGAGGGGTTTGAATCTCTTTTCTGACCAGAAACGAGACACATATGTATTCTTGTGGAACTCCATTGACCTTTGCTTACTTAGAATATTGATTGCTGCAGTCATCAGGGCTTCTTCGAAGGCCATGTCTGGGAGACCCTGGATCTGACCCATGCAGAGAAGGTGGGGTGACATGGATAGGAAGCAGCTGATCACCTCAGGTGAAGGGTCAAGAACGCAGTGGCACACTTTTATTAGGAAAGGCAGGAAGTTTTGAGGGGAATTGAGGAAAACGTTTTTCACCCAGAGGATGGTGGGGGTTTGGGACGCATTGCCTGGGAGATAGATGAGGTGGGTGACCTCACAACCTTTCAAAAGTATTTGGACAAGCACTTTAAATGTAATAATATTCAAGGCTTTGTGTCAAGTGTTGAAAAGTGGGTCTAATGCGTGTTTAGTGCGGCTTTAGTTGTACAGACTTGATTAGCTAAAGAGCCTCTTCTCTACTGTATGATTCTGTGGTTCGATGAACCTTACTGTCAGTTGCTTTGTGCAGGCTAGATGAAGGTTCTGGATCGGTAAGGAATGAGGAACATTATGATAACAGCATGTAGCCAGGCTTCTGATTTTTTTTGGGGATATTCCATCAATTTTCTTCTGGAGTGTGGTAGAACACCAGAGGAATTTTGGGGCACAATTTTGTAATTTAAGATGAGTGGTGTTGAGCAAAGCCATCAACTAGCTGAATCAGGAGTAATTTTAAACTTGGACAATACTATCCTGGTAACTTTAGCCAATTATTATCTTTATCTGATGTTTTGCAGTGGTAGGCAGGGAGGTTGTTTCCGCTAGCAGGTGAAACTAGGACTAGAGGGCATCGCCTCAAAATAAAGGGAAGCAAATGTAGGACTGAGGTCAGGAGGAACTTCTTCACCCAAAGAGTTGTGAATCTGTGGAATTCCCTGCCCAGTGAAGTGGTTGAAACTACCTCACTGAATGTTTTTAAGGCAAGGCTAGATAAATTTTTGAACAGTAAAGGAATTAAGGGTTATGGTGAGTGGGCGGGTGAGTGGAGCTGAGTCTCAAAAAGATCAGCCATGATCTTATTAAGTGGCGGGGCAGGCTCAAGGGGCCAGGTGGCCTACTCCTGCTCCTAGTTCTTATGTATCGTTACTGACCCAATGATGGTGCAGTTTTAGCTGAACTTGATTGTCCATTGTGCTTTTACTGCAATGCCTTACGTTGAATGCATCTTGATTTCTCTCCTTCTTCTTCATTCCAGCAATTGCAGGCTGAGCCATCTCCTGAAGCAAATCTAGTCCAAATCAATGTAAAAGAAATAGTCGACTGTTGCCAAAGTACCCTCCGCACTTGGCGGACGAAAAACTTGCCAAGAAGCATACTTGCCCAAGCAAAGTTCAATAGCAGAAAAGAACCAGAGGTACTTTGTGTTTTTATTTATACTTTCATAAGCCGCAGGCTTTGCTGACAAGCCCACCATTTGTTGCTCATCCCCGATTTGCCTTTGAGCTGACTGGTTCACTCAGAAGGCATTTATGAGTCGACCCCATTGCTGTGGGTCTAGAGTCACATGTAGGCCAGACCAGGTAAGGACAGCAGATTTCCTTCCCTATAGGACATGATTGAACCAAACAGATTTTTACAACAATTGATGTTGTTTGCTGTTGCTGAGATGGGCTTTATATTCCAATTTTTAAAAAATGAATTGAATTCAAAGCTGTGACAGTGAGATTTGAATCCATGAGCATTAGCATGGGCCTCTGAATTTCAATGATATTACCCCAGCACTGCCATCTACCCTACATCTGCTCGTTTACCATTTGAAAGTGGTACTTAAAGTGTTTTAAGTGCCAAGTAAAGGTACTGCATTCTGCATGTTGGCTGTATTTCAAATTATCACTTATAAAAGGAACAGGACGAAGGACAGAGCATCCTGTTTTGAACCATAGAAGCAAACAGAGAATGAAGCCACTTGAACCCTGCAAGTGCCAGCACTTAATTTGAAAATTTTTTTTTAAAAAATGAACAAAATTTCCATTTCCCTTTTCCTTCCTGTGCTACAAGTATTAATCCAATCTGAGCTGCACTGATTCCTACCTCAAATGCTTTGTGTGGCAAAGCATTCTGTAAATGGGACTGTAAAATGGATCTTACCTCACTACGTTTCATGGACCAGCCAGATCTGGTTTTAATGTTCAGAATGAGGATTGGTAATATGTTTAAAGGAGAAATTTGTCAAAAAACAAAAAGTTCAGCCAGTCAAATACTGCAAAGTGCTTTGGCCATTGGATGGAAAATATCATTTGTCTGCCAAATGGTTATTTAATCATAAATGTAACGATGTTCTTGCCATATTTTTAAAAGAAAATTGTTTCAGCCCATATCTCAGTGAAATCAATGTTCTGAAAATTCCTTCTCGGTGAACAATTGCTCTGTTCTGGGAATGTAGATGGAAAGATAATCCGTGATTTTCCAACCCTCTAATGCATGCACAACAGAAGTTCTGACACTGCATCCCAGTAGGCATAATTCTCTGTCAGGAGTACACATAATGATTCTTCTTGACAATTTTTGTGCTCTAACCAGTGATCCTTGCTTCTTTAGTAAAAGAGGGTCAGTCACCACTGGAATTTGAGTCATTTCCACAACTGGTGTTTCTGTGGAAAAATTGTATAGGTGGGTTTTGCAAGTCAAAGTGCAATGCTCACAGCCGATCGTCATTGTTGTACTTTGGTTTAAATTAATAGATGGGTAGTCTTGGATTCAAGCAGGAGCTGTGTTTGCAGTGATACATTGGGTTTGTAGCCCTTATAATTTACTAGACTATGAAACTACCATATTAGCTTAACTTGGCATCACATCCACATCTCAAATGAGAAAACGTTCCGGGAAGGGCCACCCAAAACATGAACCTGTCCCTTCAGCTACTGACCAAGCTGTTGCAAAGGAATTGTTGGTTGAACCGCAATGCGTTGTATTCAGCCTAGACAAGGGGGAAAGAGAGACAATTTCTTAGTTTGTGTGCTCCTCCCTACTCTTCTCACTTGCAGAGGGAGTGAAGGTTAGTCTATTTTTAGACATTGGAACTTATGTCTGTTCAGTCCATTCAGAACTCAGGAACTGCATCGTTTTGGCATGGAGAGCTGAGACATGGTTCCATTTGGAATGTAGCTGGTTTGCACTTCATATGTGGATTGATTGTGGCTCTTACATGTAGCTGCGTCTTGCAGTGGAGGCAAAGAGTTGCTGGGCAGTCAATCCATTCTTGGCACTAAAAGTCATAGAGTCGTAGAGACGTACAGCATGGAAACAGACCCTTTAGTCCAACTCATCCATGCTGACCCAATATCCTAAATTAATCTAGTCCCATTTGCCAGCATTTGGCCCATATCCCTCTAAACCCTTCCTATTCATGTGTCCATCCAGATGCCTTTAAAATGTTGTAATTGTACCAGCCTCCACCACTTCTTTTGGCAGCTCATTCCATAAATGTTGCCCCTTAGGTCCCTTTTAAATCTTTCTCCTCTCACGTTAAACCATGCCTTCTATTTTCGGACTCCCCCACCCTGCAGAAAAGACCTTGTCTATTTACTGTATCCATACCCCTCATGATTTGAGAGATCTCTTAAGGTCACCCCTCGGCCTCTGAAGGTGTCACCATTTATATATGTTCTGGGTCCTGTACAATTGCATTGGGTGCATGATCCTAAGCTGATGACTCTTCTTGTGACCTGAGATCTCTATGCTGAAGTTGGAAATTCTTCTATAATGTGCATGCAACAACCAATGTGAGCCTGAATTCTTTTTTTGAAATATCTGTCATGCTTATAATTATTTTGAACGATATTATAATAAATTCTGAAGCAATTAATAAACAATTCACTCACTTTGCAGATATGGAGTTGCCATTTCTCCTTAGAATGTGGAGTTGCCGACTGGACAACGGAGTGGAGAGACATGACAAAAACTGACCTTATAAAAAGATTGCAGCAGGTAGTCTACAAAAGCAGCTCTTTTCTTTGTTTCAGTCTGGTGGTATTGGACAGATGTTTTGTCATACATTTACAGAAAATAAGTACTGATTTACTTATAGATAATTATCAGCATTATTATAAATTAGCAGTTTAGAGTTATGAAATCTGCATCTGCAGGGATCCTCAGAAGCAGTCACGACTTTCATTTAAATTTTATTGGTAAAGATAACTTAAATGTGTAAAGTGAATGTATGAGCCCTCCTGAAATTGTGCTGTGCATGTGGCCAGTGGCAATGAGCCAATTTTGAAGGCACTTTTGTTTGTCATTTATATAAACGATTTGAATGAGAATTTGGGAGGTATGATCAGTAAGCTTGTGCATGGCACCAAAATTGGTGGTATTGTGAACAGTGAAGAAGGTCATCTAAGATTATAAAGAGACCTTGATCAATTTGGTCAATGAGCTGAGGAGTGGCAGATGGAGTTAAATTTTGATAAGTGCAAGATAAAACAAACAAGGGCAGAACGCATTCAGTTAATGGTAGGGCCCTGGGTAGTGTTGTAGAACAGAGAGACCTAGGGGTTCTGGTAAATAATTCTTTGAAATTTGCATCACATGTAGACAGATGGGTTAATAAATGGGGGACCAGAACTGTATACAGTAATTCAGAAGAGGCTTCACCAACGTCCTGTACAACCTCAACATGACAGCCCTAGGAAGGATATTATTAAATTGGAGACGGTTCAGAAAAGGTTTACCGGGATGTTGATGGGAATGGAAGCTTTGAGTGATAAAGATAGGCTGCATAGTCTGGGATAACACAGCATGGAGCTGGAGGAACACAGCAGACCAGGCAGCATCAGAGGAGCAGGAAAGCTGCCTGGCCTGCTGTGTTTTTCCAGCTCCACACTGTGTTATCTCTGACTCCAGCCTCTGCAGTTCTTACTATCTCTGGATAGTCTGGGACTTTTTTCACTGGAGTGTAGGAGGTTGAGGGGTGACCTTATAAACATTTATAAAATCATGAGGGGATTAGATAAGGGGAATAGCAAGGGTCTTTTTCCCTAAGGTGGGGGAGTTCAAAACTAGGGGCCATATTTTTGAGATAACAAGGTGTAGAGCTGGATGAACACAGCAGGCTAAGCAGCATCAGAGGAGCAGAAAGGCTGACATTTCGGGCCTAGACCCTTCTTTTTGAAGTGAGGGGAGAAAGATTTAAAAAGGACATGGGAGCATTTTTTTTACGCAGAATGGTTTCATGAATGTGAATGAACTGCTAGAAGAAGTGGTGGATGCAGATACATTTACAATATTTAAAAGACATTTGGATAAGTACATGAATAGGAAATGTTTGGAGGGATGTGGACCAAACTAGGGCAAGTGGGACTAGTTTGGTTTCAGAATATGTTTGACATGGACTAGTTGGACCAAGAGGTCTGTTTCCATGCTGTATGACTCTGTGACCCCTTTAAAGGTGAACAGAGTATTTCCAGTGTTTCAGGTGTGATGTTCCATCAGTTCTATGCAGTTAGCAAAATAAACTGAAACAGTGACAACCCTTTTTAATTCATCGCAATGATGTCACAGGAATAGAAATGAAAAGTACTCGATACTTCCAGAAGATCAGGAAGCATTAGTGGAGAGAGAAACACAGTTGTCTGTTTCAAGTACATAACCTCTCACTAAAATTCAGACTTTATTTTTAAAAATACCACACATGTTATAACTGTGGTTCACATTTTATTTTGACTGTTGCATTTAATTAATAGGAGACACCCTCTGACCAGATTGTCATCTACTGGAATGAGAAGGAAACTTTAGCTACATTAAATCCCACTCTTTTGGATTGTTTTGAGTACTGTGCACTTAATGCTGTGAAAGAGGTTTGCCAGGTAAGAGAAAGTGCCAAATGAAAACATTTAACCCACAATAGATTAATTTAACGTGTAAATTTTGGGAGATTATTTTCCATTCGATTGATATAAATACACATCTTGAATTTTCCTATCCTTTGCAATAGACAGCAAACCCAAAGTTACTGGTGTTTTTTGCCAATAGCTACTCTTGTTAGATGTGAAAATGTTTCACAGATTGGCCTATATGTGAAAATTAATATCTTGACCTTTAATCAGAATTGCTACCACGAGGCCAGGAAAGTCACATTCTTAGGAAAGAGTGGGATGGCTGATATAATTTTGCCCTGGCTGTTACCATCTGAAAATGGAGGATTACTTCTTTATTACAAGAATAAGGGATCTGCTGTCGTAGCATGCTTATTGTAAGGGTAGCTGGTAATATTAGTGGGCACATTCTGCCTTAATAGTGTGTGTGAGATAAATGGACTTGTAGAGAGTCTAGGATTAGTTCCATTGTGATTGTGTGTATGTTATCAATGAAAATGGCACCTGGGCATATTACAGAGTTAATTCTGCAATCTTGAGCATTCAATGAGGAAGTTTCACAAAGAACCTCGGTTGAAAATACAGCCCCAGTGTTTAAAGCCCTAATACTTTACTTACCCCAATCTCATAGGAAAGGAGATTGAAGAAATTTACTCTTTTATGTGTCCACACATTCAAAGTGAATGCAGGAAAATTAAAGTGTAGATAGTGTAATGATAATTCATGACACGTCATAGCCTTATGACCGAAAAAAGACATGCAGATTACATTTGGCTGTGAATTATATTCATGAACAAACTGTTGTGCTCTGGGATGCAGGGGAATTTATCATTTTAAATGTCTTCCTTTCAATTAAATGTTAGAGCAAAAAGGAAGCTGAACTGCTTGAAAAGTTGCAAGTATTGAAACACCAAAAATGTGCAAAGGTTTTATCAGAACTAATTGAAGAGTCTGGCAAAAGAATGGAACGCAGCAAATTCAGAGGTGTTGGCTGTGTGCTGAGTTCAGATTATGCCGTGCACTATTGCCTTCTACAAGGTAACCAATTTATGTTAATTTGCTTCACTTTTACCTCGTATAAATACAAGACTTTGTTAACAAGTGGTAAGGTAAAGTTGCCATAGTCCTAGCAGGTGATAGGCTGCTCTCTCATCAGCAAGAGACGACTGGTAATGGTTTAACCTAAGGGTTACCACATTTCAAGTGTGGGGAGAGATTGAGAAGGAGAGTCTTTCATGGTAATCTCAGCCGGTGTGAAAATTGAACTCATGCTCTTTGTATCATCTGCATCACAAACCAGCCATCCAGCCAACTGAGCTAACCAACTCTCGTACATTATGTGGTAGATATTCTCTGATTATCTCAGTAGTATTAATGGAGTTTGAGTCCATTGTCAACTTCAGTGAGCCTTGAGCTTGGTGAAAGGGTGATGTTGAATGGAGTAACCATCTGCTTTCCAAATATCACTTTTCTAAACGTCCAAATACTTTGATTTCCATTCCTATCACTGCATTGAGTAAATTTCAACAAGTTGTACTTTCATGTTGTTTTGAATGCCTCTGTTGGAGTCGTTGATTCAAATTCTGTGACTTCAGACAGAAAGAACTGCAGTGGAATAAAGATTTTATATTTGCTCTTGAGATGAGAATGATACTAACGTTGTAGTATTTGTTACCCACAGCTGAGCATCCTGAGGTCAGGTTTGGCAGCAGGTTGTTTCCACTAGAGTGACTATTTAGGCTTTTCACATCAATCCATTAGCTTTCATGGTTCATTGTTCCCCTGCCAATGTGTAATATACAAGGTCGTTACATTCAGTTTGACCTCTAGGTCCAGCAGCCATCATTGAGAGGTTACTCGGCTGGCTTCATTCCTATTTTAAGTAGTCTGTCTTTTATATATAAGGCTGAGAGAGAGAGAGAGGTATTTCCCAGAGAGAGCAAACACATACATAACACATATCCAGGAGAAGCAGGAACCTGCTTGTCAGATTGAAGATCTCATTCAATGAAGTGGACACTGAGCCTAGAAGGGAGGAGAAATTGACGAAAAGTCTTATGCAAAACACAAGCCATCCCAGCAAGGAAGATATGTACCAAATGGTCTCTGAAGAGCTGTTGGTGCATGAAATTTACAACATTTAAAGGAAGATATAGTTCTGTGTTAATTCCACATGAATGAACATTACAGTCATGTAAAACCTGCTACCCACAAACTTTCTAAATGCAACAAGGTGGTTTTAAAGGTTTTATGATCTTCATAGTGTCTGTTAACTTTTTAAAAAATCAACTTAAACTTCCAGAGGACATAGGAAAAGATGACCTGTTAAAAAAAAAAAATTCACTTTTTAAGACTTTTACTGTAACAAAAAAACTAAAAGCACCTTTGACCAAGCACTATTTCAGTCATCAACATAAATTCTCAACTACAAAACAGAGCTTTCTCTTTTTACTTCTAACACATCGAAAATCCAACTCCACAGCTAAATTTTACTCTGTCCCTTAAGTAGATTCAATTCTCCTGGAACCAGTCCAAGTTGAATTCTTCGCTTTTAGACTTTATTTCTTTTGTACGAAAGACATATGAAAAAAAGAGAAAATCTTTGAAATACAGTGTATTTTTATTTCAGTTAAATGTTTACAGTATCCTTGCAATTAGCTTGGATACATGAGTCTACATTATACCTGATATATATGGTGATCTCCAGGTGACTGCAGTAAACTCGATGTCTCAGCAAAAGCAAGAAATTTACTAAAAGATGCCGAGAAGAGTTTTTGCATGATGGTTGAATGTCTCTATCAAGGTTCCGTGATGGTTCCTGACCTACAGTTACTTCTGCTGAAAAGAAAGGAGTATTTCAATTTATTTAAAGCACGTAAGTCTGGCACATATAACATGGTGTAATTTACTTTTGTCAATTTACTAACTTTATTGATATATGCATTCAAGTGAACGCAGCCTTGCGACTCCCACCCTCTGGGTCCCACAAAAAAAAAATTCTTTGCTTATTGGTTGAATGATAGGCAAGTGTCATACTTCAGAGTGACTTAATAAAGCTCTATAGTTGCCTTGGACCCTGAATCATACATATTCTCTGTCAATCAGAAAAACAGACACCTCACCTCTCAATAGTACAATTACACCAGACCAGTACAGAAGTATGAAAAAGAAGTGCTCGATTTTTATTCCCGTTCCACCTTGATATTCTGGGTGGAGAGGGTTGAAATTTATTTTTACTCACCCACTGGGTATGAGCATCACTGGATAGCAATTGTTACACATCCCTAATTAATTTTTGCAAAGGTTGTATGTTGCCTTCTTGAGTCGCTGCAGTCCATTTAGCTCAGACACATCCACATTGCAGTTAGGAAAGGAGTTCCAGGATTTTGCCCCACAGATGATAAAGGAACTGAGATATAATTCCAGAGTCAGGATAGTTCATGTGTTGAAGGAAAACCTGCAAGTGATGGTTCTGTCATGTATCTGCTGCACTTCTTCTTCAGTATGGTAGAGGCATAGATTTGAAGTTGCTGTTGAAGAAGTCTGAGTATAGAGGGTTTATACTGCTATTACTGGGCAATGGGTGGAAGTGAATGGATGGGTAACCAAACAAGCAGGCCATTTAGTCTTCTATGGTGTTGACTTTCCCACGTGTGGGTTGGAGCTGCGTTTGTCGAGGAAAATTGAGAATATTCCATGATATCCTTCATTTGTAGCTGATAGGTGGTGAAGAGGTTTCAGGTAGACAGAGGATGAGTCAGTCATTGCAGAATTCTAAGTCCCTGAGCTGCTTTTAAAACTCAGTGCAGTAAAGTCCCACTCTGGGAGATGCGTTCTGGAAAACGTTGTAGTTGGTGATTTTTGTGAACAGCAAAAATGGCCAACTGTGCATTGCACAACATGCACCTGTGTTTACTGCTGGAAAGTCATGGATAAGCAAAATTGGAATTGTGGTGGGCAAATATGTATACAGAACCTATTGTGTGGCTAAGTGAATTTGCCAAATGCAGGCTTACAAATAGGATGCATTCACTGTGTTTATATGGATGGTCCAATTCAGTTTCTGATCAGTGGTGATCTACCCTCACACCCCTTAGGGATGGTGATGGTGGAATATTCAGCAATGGGTGAGAGGAGGTTGAAAAGATCTCTTTTTGGAGGTTTGGCTTGATATTGGTATGGCATGAATGTTACTTGATACTTATCAGCCCAAATCTGAATGCTGTCAGGCCTTGCTGCATTTCAGTACAGGTGCCTATATAGGTGCCTGAGAAGTGGAGATAAGCACTGTATAATCATCAGTGAGCCTCCCCACTGTTGGTCTGATGACAGAAAAACATTCATTAATAAAGCAGCTGAAGACGGTTTATGCTCAGATACTACCCTGACGAATTCTTGCAGTAATGTCCTCGAACTGTGATGACTAACATCCAGAAACCACAATCATCATCATTTCTGCTAGGTAGGACTCCAAGCAGGGGAGCATTTTCCCTGATTCTTATTGACCACAATTTTAATTGGATTTCTTGCCACCAATCTCTGCCAAATACTGCCTGATTTTCAAGGGAAGTTACTTTCACTTTATCACTGGGATTCCTCACCTCTGTCCCATTTGGGCTGAGGCTACCAAGGTCAGGAGTTAAGTGGTCCTGTTGGAAAATAAATTGAGCATCAGTGGTTAAGTTGTTTTCATGTGTAACTGCCACTTGTTGGCACTGTCAGTGGTACCTTTCACCAATTTGCTGATGATTAAGAGGAGACTGATGGGGTGGTAATTGGTGGGTTGGGTTGGGTTGGGTTGGTTTGGATTTGTCTCCTTTCAGTAGCCAGGACAATTTTCCACAAAAGTTGTTGTGTGAATCAAAAACAAATTGCTGCTGAAACTCAGCAGGTTTGGCAGCATCTGTGGACAGAGAAACAGAGTTAACATTTCGAATCCAGTGACCCTTCTTCAGGTGTGTCCTTCATTTACAGAACAGAAACTCCCAGACCATCAAAGGAAGGCATTTTTTCAAGTTGATGCTGAAAAGCTGATGTCAAGGAGAGAAGCTGAACTTGAGGTCTTTCAGAGTGAGAGAAAATCCATTGAAACATTAATAAATATGGTTGAAAAAATTCATGAAACTATTTCAGGTACAGTATTTATCAAAACTCTCTTTCTGAGGATGGTGCATGTCTTACTTGAGTAACTGATGGACCAAGAAGAATACAGAACAGATGAATCCTCCCATACAGTTTATTTAATCAATGTTATCAAAATTTATCAAACAAAAAACACTAAATCTGTTTGCATATTTGGCCAAATGTGGGAGTAATTAGCAATTATTGAAGCAAATAATAAAAAAGGAATAAAATGCATAGCTGTTCACCATAATAGCTGCCCACATTCTGGTGAAAATACATATTGTTTAGAATTGATAAAGAAAATAAGCTTTTTACTTTGCCAAAAATTTGACTTTGAGAAATGATCATAATGGGGGTCAACCATATTCATTCTGTTCTGATCTTTTAAAAATCTTATTCTGACACCCTGATATGGGCTGAATGGCCTCCTTCTGCACTGTGTCACTCTATGATTCTAGTTGAGAATATCATTGTTATTTTTGCACATAGCTGAAAAATTTCAAGTCATTCCTTGGAATGTTCTCATTACATTAACTCCAATCATCTATATCCTATAAGGTGAAATTAAATTATAATCATTATTAATTTTTAAATCATATTGAAGATCCTTAGACAGTTTCCCATTGAGAAAAACAACTTTCATTAAAAGGATCAAAAACAGAAGTGGCCGGAAAATCTCAGACGACAAGGTGCAGAGCTGGATGAACACAGCAGGCTAAGCAGCATCATAGGAGCAGAAAGGCTGACGTTTCGGGCCTAGACCCTTCATCAGAAAA